ATATATTTGATGCTAAGCTCAGCTTGCACTTTCATCAGTGTGAATAATTTATATCAAATGGCAGGCTTTATGATAGTTATCATAAGCCCTTTAGTTGACTTCAGGCTTCACAGAGGAGGAGGAGGAACATCAAAGTGGAAAAAGTCGAGAGGGGGGGGGGGCATAAGAGTGCTTCAAAGACGAAGGTAGAAAAAAGGTGAGGTGAGTACTGTGAAAGTAGTCGAATATGACATACAATGGAGTGATGGTAGTTTGACGTGAAAAGTCAACTGCCGGTTAATAGACTTTTTTGCCGTATAAGTATACGTTGCCCAGGGTGCACCACGTGGAGATAAGTCTATCGCACACCCCTCAGTGTGAATAATAATTAGTTGGAAAAGCTGGTCAAAAGGCAAAGTCCTTGTAACAAAAAAATCAATTTGGAAACTATGTTGCTGTTATCTTGGGTGCTGAAGAGCTATTTAAATATTAAAATTATATATATCTTGACGGATTCGTGTCATCTCCTTTCTAACGCTGTCTGCATCTGTGTTTTTATGGCACGCCGCTAATATATTTCATGAAAGCGCGATTTCAAGTTATCTTTAGAGAGGACTTATTTATTTAATTTAAATTATAAAGAAGGAAAAACTGCTCCATTAATTTTTTTGCACGTTAACAAATTTTCGAATGCCCCGAGTGGAAATGAAAATTGAGTTACATCAGGTTATGATAAATGTTTAGAGAAGAACTTATATTTCATTTCAAAGATCGACTTGGTGAATGTTTTTAAGATAATTTCTTTTGAAAATATTTCGAAAATTCAATAGACTATACCATCAGGCAAATAAAAAATTAAATGGTAATGAAGAAAATTATTGAGTGAAGTTGCATGCAAATCTTTGTCAGTTTGAAAAATATAATCAATGGGACTTTATTGACTTTCTGAAAATATAAACTCCAAATTAAAACCAATCAATTAGTTGCCATAACACAAATATGCAAAAATTGCTTGTTATAACGTTTCTTGATGACGCGTTTTTGTCATTAAATAACTAATATCTCATTTACATATCTCCGCTTTTGCAAGGGAAGAAAAAATCGATCTGAATATCGGAATATTTTATTTCAAGATTTTATATCCGAATAGTTGGATGCAGCCCTTCCACTTTGAGAAGAATGGAATCTACATTATAGAATATTTAATTGTGGAAACTTGATCGAAAATGAATTTTTGTTCACAACTGCAGACGCGCACAGTGTTTCGTTGTGTAATAATAATGGATGTCGCACAAATTGAAATATTCTAATCATATGCATTTGTTTACCTGCCATCAAGTAACTTAAACTCAGTTGAAGAGAATTAAACCTATTGAACCGGCTCTCAAATACAAACTCAAATTGATAAACTTTCTTGGTCAACTGTGATAGGTCAGACAATTAACGGCGCACTTTATCAATTTAAGAGGCTAATTGCATAAATATATTCATTTAAAATTAGCGTAGCAAGGATTTCACGAAATTAGCGAAGCATTTATATTTTGATTGATATTAAGCATAGGGGTGCGCGATAGACTTACCTCCTCGTGGTGCACCCTGGACAACGTATTTTCTTACAGCAAAAAAGTCTATCACTCGGCATTCGTTTTTGACTTCGATTAATTATGACTAGCTTTAAAAAAGGCTATAAGAGAAATCGCTCTCGTCAGGGCGAATCATAACGTCTTCAGATCCTCCAGTGGAATGCTGGAGGGGTCCCACAGGACAAAAAGATCCAAGTACAGAAAATCCTACAAACCTATGATGTAGACATGTTCACAATTATGGAAGCAAACCTTTGGGATGACAAACTGAAGCACCACCAATTTCCAGGTTATACGCTGCACCTTCTGCCTAAATATCGGCAAGTTGCAAGTGGAATTCTAACTGGAGTAAAAGAAGGCCTCACCTCACACTCCGATCTAATCAAGAGTATGGGCACGACACAGGACATATGTGAAATAATCAGATTAAATGTTTGGAAATATCTAAACCACTTCAAGGTATATGCAGTCTATAATCCACCCCAGAATTGTCCCAACTTTGACTTTCTGAACATCTCACACAAAACTGTAGTATTAGGAGACTTCAACGCCCACTCCACCAGATGGCGCTACAAGGATACAAGCATAGCTGGAATGGAAATTGTAGACATGCTAAACAGCAACCCTCTGGAACTTATTTACAGCAATGAGGATCCGGCTACATATTTGCACTACAATGGATCCAGAACAACTCCTGATTTACTCTTGCCTTCAAGCGACATCAGTGAGCATACACACCGCAAAATAATTGAAGATCCTGGTTCTGGTCACAAACCAGTCATTGCTAGTATTACCATCGGCAGCTAAAGCATGTCAAGGAAAGTGCCAACTAAGCTATCATGGAACTTCAAGAAGGCTGACTGGCCTAGATTCACAAACCTTTTAGAGAATGAACTTCACACAAGTCCCCTCAAATTCAACCAACATCCTGACAAACTTTGCAACGATATCACGAATATTATGATCAGATGTGCAAAGAAAACTATTCCCAGAGGCAAGACTAATCACTATCGAGTGTTTTGGTCTAGGCACCTTTAGGAACTGAAAAGAAAGAGGGACGCCCTTCACAACACCGCTGATCAGACTGAAAGAATGGAAGACTTACAAGCCTGGAAACGACAATCAGCTGTCCTAAGGCAAGCCATCTTACAAGCTAAACGGACTTCCTTCGACAAGTTCATCTCAAATATCAACTATCAAAGTGATAGCCAACGCACTTTTAAATTCTTGGGTAACCTCTAAAACAACAAGGAAAGACCCAAGAAAGAATCAATACGCTTAAACAACAAACTGCTTTCCACCGACTCCGAAATAGCTAACTGCTTTGCGAGATTCTATTCCCACAAGCAAAAGAAAAACCCTTCTGTCAGNTAAACACCACTAACAAGATGTTTATTAAGCCAATAATGTTGTATTGCTGTGTGCCACTCATTACAGCCACAGAGGTGACTCTCAAATCATTCGAGAAGGCACACAACCAAGCATTACGACTAATTACTGGAGGGATAAATCAACACCCATTGATGCAATGCTCCTAGTTACAGGAAGCACCACAATATGTTCCCTTATCAAAGAAAAGGCCTTGTTCCTGTATGAGAAGCTACTGCGCATTCCCATGGACAAGTTCTTCAGCACCTATGAGAATAGACCAAGACATCTGAAAACGCAATCTGGTAGAATACAGAAAGCCATAGAACTGAAGAAAGAATTACAAATCGATGACAAACCAAAAAGCCTCTCTCCCCATGAACCCATTAGCAGACCCTAATGTAGTGTGTTGCACCCAACTGCTTGATTTCTTCAGGAAATCATACACTCGTCCAAAGCAAATGCGCTCATTAGCCCTAGAGACAATCTATGTCAACTCTCCTGCAGATCAATGGCTCCAAGTCTTCACAGATGGGTCATACATAGAAAACCAAGCAAACATTGATGCAGGTGTCTTTTCTGAACTCTCCTCTTTCTACGCAGCAGCGGGACACAATAGACCCGCTTTCAAAGGAGAAATAGAGACCATTGGGATAGCACTATGTCAATTATGTTGCCTGGATACGCAATTCACCAAAGCAGTGATACTTTCGGACTCACAGTCAGCAATAAACTCAATTGGAAACAGAGAGCCACCCAAAACAGCTGAGATAAAGGAATGTAGAAAACTCCATGAGGTGCTGAGAGAGAAAAACAAAACAATGGTCCTTCAATAAATTCCTGGTCACTGTGGCATTAAAGGCCATGAGCTTGCTGACACACTTGCTAAGAAAGTGACAACAATTTTGCAATGCATGGACCGACCGATGTCTTTCCACACAATGAAGGCCTTAATCGGGAGAGAATTCGAGACTTCAAGGTGCAACGAACTCAAAGCTCGAACAAAGGAGAAACAGTGGACAGTGGCACTCTCCGATATAGCCGACTGGCCAAGAATCGAAGCCGTTGCTGAGTTTAGACTACGTACTGGACACGATTGCTTAGCAAAACATCTTCACAGATTGGGAGTATACACTCAACCCACATGCCCCCTATGTAACCTACAGGAGGAAATGGAGAAGACCCACCTGATTCGGTGTCCAGCCCTAAAGACAAGTACGGAAAGCCAAAGATACTGGGAAGCAAGAAGACAGCTAATGAACTGCTATTAATTAACTGCTCTAAATGTATCCTCCACCCTTGTAATGACGGAAACGCCTTCATTCCCTTTTCCATGTTTTGGTGGTGCTAACAAATCTGCAAATCTAAACCGCCTTACATACTTGATTTTCTAAAAAAATCTGTCCCTTCTTTAAGTCCATTAAATTCATCTCAACACACATCCATTGACGCTACCTGTTTACCTACCAAGCAAATATTTATAAAATTCGAAATAACCAATTATGCATCAAGGGTCTAGGATCAAATGTTTTAATTTTACATCATCATTTCTATAAATCCATTTATTGATAATTTTCAATTACGACGAAGCAATAGATTCCACTGGAATTTTACCCAGTATATAATCGGCAAATGCAAGTTCTTCTAATAAACAAAGATTTATTTATTTATATCAAATGGCGGGAGTTTTGATAGCTATCATTAACCCTTTAGTTGACCCCAGACTTCACAGAGGGGAAAGGACATCAAAGTGACATAAAGGTGAGAGGGGGTGGGGGAACAGAACAGTGTTTCAGAGATGTAAAAGAGACAGACACAAAGGTAGAAAAAAGGTAAGATGAGTACTGTGGAAGTAGTCGAATATGACATAGAGTTTGAAGTTAGAAGTCAACTGCCGAATAAAAGACTTTTTGCTGTATGAGTATACGTTGCCCAGGGTGCACCACGTGGAGGTAAGTCTATCACACACCCCATTTAACAAAGATAAAGTAAGCGAATTTCTCCTATTTATCATTCGTACTCCCAAAAGTTAAATATAGCAAAATTTGAACTTACTAAACGATATCGTAATTCAAAAGAATCAGCAGAGCATATATGGAGTAAAAGTACAAATTCTTTCATTTTAATGAAAATAATTTTCACAAAATCTAAATCAAATTGTTGATTTACTGTTTTCTTTTCTTTGCATATTTCGTCAATATACTAATCTTTTTCAGATAAATATTGATCCTGCGATTGGATTAATATATTTTAATTAAGTTGTGATATTTTTAAGAGGTTAAAATTTCGATGCCAATGAATTATGCATTTCCATTTTTATTTGAAAAAATAAAGTCAAAATTCTAATGTGACTTATATTTAAATATAATTTATCTCTAACCTATGAAGTGGAAACGTACTATCTTTCAATTAGATTTTATATATTCAAAACAGGTACTTGGCATTTATTGTTCAATCATTAAACATATTTATTTATTTATTTATATCAAATGGCAGGCGTTTTGATAGTTATCATTAGCCCTGGAGCTGACTTCGGGGCTTCACAGAGAGGAGGAGGAGGACCATTAAAGTGACAAAAAGTCGAAATGGGAGACAGAATAATGAATCACAGAGACAGAAGAGACAGACAGACACTAGGGCATAAAAAAGACATGATGAGTACCGTGAAATGGGTCGAATATGACAAATAGTCGGGCCATAGTAGTTT